GAGCCCAGCAGGTGAGGCTGCGGTGGCCGGGAGCGGCCACTGTACTCCAGTCTGGGTGACCGAGTGAGACTCCAACTCAAAAAAACAAAAAACAAAATAAAAGAGTCAAGTAGTAAATGCCCAAAGTGTCATGAGCTAGGTGGGCTTCACAGAGAAGGAACATTCTAGAACTCTGATTCCTTCGGAAACAAAGCACTGTAACTCCTTAGGAAGTACAGGCAGAAGCCTTGTGTCCTGCCATTCATCTTGTCCAATAAAAGCCTGTAGGCCCTACCATGCAGCAGCACCACTCGGTTCCAGGTGATGAGGTTGCTGTTGACATTCTTGTCTGAAAACAGTAAGGTTGTCATCACATAGTCGAGGAGCTGATAAAAGGAAAGAGAAAGAACAAGCAGATGAAGGCACCAACCAGCAAGGCTGAGATTCCTGGTCCATGTGCCGTGAGGGCTCGGCCCTTGGGGAAAGGGCTGGGGGAGAGAGGCTGCTGCCAAGGGGCCGGCACCCCCAAGCACCCAGCAAGCGCCTCCAGGCTTCTGCTTCAGAAGAGAAGCACCTCACAGAGGGACAGGATGCGTGCTGGCTGTTGCTGCCATAGAGATGAGGAGAAACAAAACGAGCGCCTCTCGTAATATCAAGCAGAAGCAATAAAGCCTGTATCCAGCCGTGAGCAATCTCCCTCCTCTAAAATAAGGCAGTGGTGGGCAAGCATGGCGTGTTCATTCACAAGACAACAAGCGAGCCCGCGGATTGGGAAGGAGGGGGTGAAGGCATGAAGACACGCTAGCCCAGTGGGACCTGCGCACTTGCTGTCTTTGGTCTCCATGGTGCCCCTCCTCAGCCAGAGTGCCTTCCGCAGGGGCACATGCAAGGCGAGTAGCCTTGGCATTCTGCCCCCTCCCCTCTCACTGGAGCTCCTGCAGGACAGACGTCCAGGACACGGGCTGCCACATATGGGGCTTCCCAAACCCACCAGAACCCAGGGCTCAGAGGTGCTGGACAGCAGGACCATGACATTCTTCCTTAAGAAACAGGGTGTTTGCAGAAAACACAGCCACTTACGTGTGCTTTCACTTCCACATCGTACACTAAGCTGTCCCAAAGTCCGTGGAATTCAGCTGTGAGAGAATAAAACACCCGTTTTAGGATTGCGAGCATGACACCCCAAGCCAGACTGCTCCGGGTCTGATGCCTGCCACTGCCACTGCACCATACATGGGAAATGGAGATTCAGACTCCAGGGAGGTATGAAATCGAAGGTGCAAAACAGATGCCAGTCATGCATAGCTTTTGGCAGATAATTAAATGGAGTAAAAGAATTACTTTTTGTGTCTTGTTATTATACGCAATTGTCCTTCACAGAGCCATGCTTTAACAACAAGCACAGACACTAACTACCCTCCCCACATGATGACCGAGTTGACTCTGCCTGCTAGAAGCCATTGGCAAAATAAATAGGGAATAGTCAAGAGACAGGAAGAAAGAGTAGGTCAGCAGGACAGACCAGCTGGGCAGTCACCACCTCTGAGGTACCTGTCCAGGGGAACCAGACAATCTTACACTGGAACCTCTCCTTTCTGTGATATGCTTTAGCATGAAGTGCCTTGGCAAGCCCGGCAGTGTGCGACCCTCAACCCTTGGCCGCCCTCGGCCTCCCCCCGCCTCCCCAGGACGGCACCACACCTGCAGGCAGAACCCAGTGACTGGCAGCAATGATGTTTTCTGACTCTTCCTCCAAGTTTTCACTGCTGGGGCCCTCTTCATTCAGCTGGAAGATGTGAAGTGCGATTGTGCACACACTCAAATCAATGGGCTGTCGTGAGAAGGAAAGCCATGTCAACCTATACACGTGTGTAACACACTTCACTTTCTAATTCCTGCCATACAAATTGGATGCTAAAGCCCAAAATAAAAGCTGAATGTATCATGCTAAAACCTAGTTCTCAGACTAGATGAGAAGGCTACTATTTTACTTCAGATTGAAGATGAATTCTTTTTAAAACGTACTCATCTCACCCCCTCTGGGAGCTTCATCTATTTTTAAAATTCAACTTTACTGTTTTTTTGTGGTTAAAAGTATCACACCAATAACACAGAATGAAGAAAGTACCCTAAATGCAACCTCAGAGACATCATAGTCTACATATACTCACATGGATCTGACCAAACCCTGAGTCACACCCACCATGTATCGTTTTCTGTCATGTGCCTTTTCCCACCTATGACAGCTGGGAGGCGTCCTCAAATCAGTTGATGGAAGTGAATTCCATTCAAATTGCACATGCTTTTCAGTGGCTGTATCGTACTTGGTATAGGTTTATGAATCTCTGACTGGTGGACAGTTAAGATGTTTCGAGTTGTCGGGTATTATTAATCCTTTGCACTCAGATGTCCTCTCTGAGGGGATATCGTAAATTCAGCAAACCACTTGGAAAAAGATTGCTGGTGATTATACGGGACAAATCTATGCAAGTGCAAATTTTTCAAAAAAGTATGTTGCCTTGAAGCTTTCCATTTAAACTGAACAAAAAGGCAAAGAGATGGCATATGAACTGAGATATTCGAAGAAAAGAAACATGAAGAAAAGAAACATCAGTTGGCATCATGTAGAAAGAGAATGTGTGACATGCTTTCACAGTGGTGCCAACACTTCTCTGTAACAAAAGGTAGTGATGAAGGGCGTTTGTATGAGAAAGGCAGCTGTGGGTACACCCTCTGTCTCCTAAGGCATAACTTGAAAAGACAGATCAGCAAGTTATTGTAGCCTTAGAAGAGACTTTTGAAGTGGAAGCCAGATGATATTGAAGATTGAGCAGCACAGATTAAATATATCCACCTGCACAAAGTCGGAAAAGTAAAATTGGAAAAGTAATATTCTTTTGATCCATTTCTCATTTCATAATTTCCAATTAGATAATTTTTATACATGTGATTTAGTTTGCAGAACAATGGCAACAAGAAAAGACAAAAGTGAGAGTTATAAGAAGCAGTGAAGATGAGTTAGATTTGGATTTTTTTTTATACAGATAAGTTAAAAAAATAAACACTGATGTGGAAGAAAACGATAGTGGTGATAGTGATATCATCCCATCAAGAAGAAAACAGGCGAATGTAATAGAAAGTGGTAGCGATGAAATCGTTAGTAGTTTCCAAGAAGTGGAAGACAATGTATCATCAAGTGAAGAATGGGAAGATGTTACAGAAAAAGAAGGTTCTCCAGTAAGAATTTTGTTGTCTATCCTCAAACGACAGAACCAAAAATAGCAAGTAACACAAGAGAATTGATTGACTATTTTACTCTGTTTTACATATGAATAGTGTAATAAAAAGCGATAAAAAAACAAGGGAAAAGCAGCTACTGTGGAAGGAGCTTTAAAAAGACATCTACAATGTCAAAAACTAGGCTAAGCATAAACTCAGCCTTTGCACAGTTAAGCATGCACTCAGCCTTTGCACAGTTAAAAAATTCCCTTCCTGGAAACTGGCAACAGCACCTGCTGGCTAGGTTAAACTGTTTAACAGCTTTTTTTTGCTTCTGTGAACCCCGCTAGCATTGCTTGAAAAGTACCTAGGCCTCCAGGATGTTGTGGTTTGGCTCGCTTGGAAAGTTCCAATGTGGTTTTACCCCATTTAAGCAAGCCCCTACAGCTAATGGGGGCCCCTTGCTGTGGGACTGTTATGTCCAGCAGGCAAGTGGCCGCCAGCCCGGCTCTTAGCTAATAAACCTCTCCTTTTATAACTTGTACTTTGGTGTCGGTGTCTGTGAATTAAGCATTTGGTCCCTATTTCACTATATTATGCACACCAATTTGGCATAAGTGGCATGATGCTGACCAATAGGAATTTTTAGCTTTTATCACAGTTATCCTAGATATGGGAATAATCCAAGTACCAAATTTGAAAGGTTACTGGTCAACTGCTTTCAATAGTAAAATACTCTTCTTTCTGGAAACATTCAGTAGAAAAAGGTTTATGCACATCTTCTGGATGCTTCATTTGAAGACATCTGCATAGAGTGATGGGATGATCAGAACTCGTATTCAAAAGCCCAATAATTATTTGGAATACATCGATTCAAAATTTTTACAATATTTCATACCAGTTCAATTTGTGTTGACGAAGTCGTTGTTCAATTTAAAGAGCAAATATTGTTTATAACATACAATCCAAATAAACCTACCACATGAGGTATACACATTTACGCGCTAGTTGATTCAAAAACAGGGTATCTTTTTTAATACTTCCTTACTATGGCAGCATAACATCCCAAAACATCATTCAACCTGATCTTCCAGTAAGCACCAGAATTACATTACATTCATATAAAAAGTTGTTGGGAAAAAGTTCCCCATGCAGTAGGACAGTACATGTTTACTGACAGATATTATACCAGCATTGTCCCAGCAGAAGAGCTACTAAGGATGGACTGTCACTTCATTGGTACAATCAAAGTCAACCAAAAGGGAATACCAGCTCAATAATAAAGTCCAAGTTTTTCATGATAAAACAGTTACCTGTGGGAAAAACAGTCTTATGCTTCTCAGCGGAAAGGACAAAAGGACTGCTACAAAACTCAGCACTTGAAATCATGCAGGAATGAAGTCTACCACAAGATCATTACGTGGTGGAACTTTGACACAAAGAGCCTGAAGTGATTCTAAATCACATTGCAAATATGAGCAGTATGGATTGTTCAGCTCCATATGCTACTACATATTGGTTTTTTTTTGAGAAAATCTCTAACATGGTAGAGGAAATTATTCTTCTGGAGATTAGAAATATGCACTATTAGCTCCTATGTGTCATACTGAGCACCAAAGAAAAAAAAAAAAAAAGGAAAAGCCTATGTCCCATCTGGAATTTGTCAAGATTCTGATTGATAGTTGAGAAGTAGTTTTCAGGAATCGCTAGTGCATCCTTCCACATCATTTTCAAACGATCGACTGGACAATAACTTACACATTATTACTGTGAAAGGAAGGAAAAAAGATTGCATTGTCTGCTCGAATTGAAAATACATGGTGAAAGACGTCACACAAATTACCATTACACAGCATGTAACAATGAACCTGCAATGCAGGTCGGTGACTGTCTCACATGTTACCTTACATTAAGAAAAGTATATAACGTTTTGGGCAACATTCCATTAAGCCAATCATCACAGCTGGTTCCAACGCTGTATACTATTTAATATGAAGGGATTTCTCGTTCACTATCTTGTAAAAAAGTGCTGTCAAGGGGTTGGTATGTGATCTGTGAGACTTCTCTGAGTGCAAAAGATTAACAATACGCTCATATTTAGCTACAAGACTGCGCAATCGCCTGTGAAGATAAAGTCCCATAAGTGAATCTGCAGAGAGTGAGCTTGAAAAGGTCTGCAGGGCAGCCAGTGCCCTCCAGTCAGGCGGTGCTGACCCATCCTTCCGCGGCAGTGTCAGGATGCTCTCCATGCTCTAGGCCTGGCCAGCACCACGACGGCAGCATCAGATTCCGGTTTGGGTAAAGCTTGATGACACACACACTCGAGTCCTAATGTGTGAGTGGGCAGGGCCACCTCATGAGCAACCAGCACCAAGGCCGAGGATGGGGGTCACTTCACTCTCAGTGACACATGCCTTGGGGATTCATCTCAGGCTGTGTTTCCACTGGTGCCAGGACTGCCTCAACGCACCCAAATTCTCACCTAAAGCTTCCCCCAGTCCCACACTGGACGAGGGAGCTGGCGGGTGAGACAGCCATCCTGAGGAGGAGGTGAAGAGCATCCACTAGGCGGTCCATCCCCTCAGCTCTGGACATCCCGCCCCCTATGGTTCTGAGGCACACCAAGCACTTCTTGAAGGTCTGTTGACTGAAAGAATGACAGACGAGGTGCATAGGCCTCCGAGCTGCCCTGTGTCCCCTTCCCCAATGAGGAGTGCACGCTGCACCAGCACTTGGTGCCTGCCAGCCAGCCAGAGCTTGTCTAATCTACCAAACCCACAGATCAATGAACATGTTTCTGGCAATGTGCTATCAGAACTACAGGAGACATTCAAGGGACCAACCTTGGATTCAGCTAAGGGTAAACTGCCACTTGGCACTAGGAACTAGGAGCTCACCTGTGGGTCTTTCACCTTTAACTCTGTGTCAACAATAGACACAGACTGCACATTTCTGGTCAGAAAAGGCTCATCAAATTCAGTCCATGAGTAATCGCCAAACACGATATTATGTCTGTGGAGTAGCTTTCTCACACTCAGCTTGATGTCTTCTTTTTTTGCAGTGCTAGAAAACAAACAAGCACACATTAACAATCTTAGTCAAACACAAGATTTTAAAATGAAATGTTTTTTCAAAAACTCAGACCATACATATGGAAGTGCGGGAGTTAGGGAGACAGGCTGGAGTTGCCCCCATCTGTGGTTCCTCCTCCCGCGGGGACCCCAGGAAGCTCCCCAGTGTCCCTGGGGAGTTTGTCATGCCAGGGGTTCTTGCCATGCCAGGGTGCTCTGAAAATATGTTCCTGTGTTCAGTGTTTAGGATGGTACCTGGCACTCAAAAGTACTCAATAAATGCTGGTCATCACTATTACCAGCAAAATTCCACGGCTGCAGGGTCAGGCCTGGAAGACACGTGCTGATGCATCTCTACGCCCAGGATTCACGCAGAGAGAACTGAACAGAGTTTGGCATCCAGGATTCCTCGCCTGCCTACAGCTTGATCAGGGCAAGACCATGCCTCTGAGCCTCACATGTTGTCCCAGCTCACTGGGCTGCCCAGTGACGGCCACTCTCTGGAGTCTACTCAGCATTTCCTCCCTCGGAGCCCTCCTGAACGGCTGCACAGACAGGAAGGTGACACGTGGCCTCTCTGCTCTTGTCCCAGCACCCTAGGAGGCAGCAACCACAATGCATGGCGTGATTGTGCAGTGCCTCTGGGCCCAGGTGTGGCTGTACATGGGGTGTTTCTGGCCTGTGGTGGCACTGTTTGTGGGCATCTCTGAGCTCTGAGGGATCTGTGCAGCGGTTCTGAGCTACACAGTTGTGTGCTGGCATCCCTGGGCACTGGTGCAACAGCGTGTAGGTGTCTGAACTTTGGCACCTACAACCATGCTGGGTAAACAGCTGTGTGTTAGGGGAAAGGGCCTCTCTATCCGCACCCTGGGCCTGGTGGTCCCTCTGTGGACATGAGGAGGGATCTAGAAGGCTGCAATGCCTAGGGCTCTGGTCTCGTCCCCAGGGTGCTGGCACAGCCCATGGCCCCACAGCAGTCTACTATGACCTGGTTCAAAGCCACAGATCTGTGGGGTTGGCTTAGAACTATAAAAACATCAAGCGCATGGGGAAGGGGACCCAAAGCCAGGTACTGGGAGGCCAAGAGTGGCAACTCATGCCTGTGATCCCAGCGCTTTGGGAGGTTCAGGGGAAAATTGGTTCAGGTCAAGAGTTCGAGTCTTGAGCAATATAACGAGACCGTTCCTACAAGTAGAACAATTAGGTGGGTGCGGTGGCTCCAGCCTGTAGTTCCAGCACAGGCTGAGGCGGGAGGCTGAGGCGGGAGGATCACTTGAGCCCAGGACAAGCCCGCTCGGGTCAGTTAGGGTCGACTTGGGTAGGGTCGGGTCAGTTCCGGAAGGATCGGCTGAGCCTCCTCAGGTCGGTTCAGGTATAGTCGGGTTGGGTCGGGCCAGTTCGAGAGGGGTCGGCCGAGCCTACTCGGTCGGTTCGGGTTGAGTCGGGTGGGGTCGGGACGTTCGGGTCTCAAGTCGGGTGGGGTCGGCCGAACCAGACTCGGGTCTGTTCGGGTCGAGTCGGGTGGGGTCGGAGCAGTCCGGGTGGGGTCGGCCGAGACTGCTCGGGTCGAGTCGGGTGGGGCCAATTCGAGATGGGTCGCCGCGCCTACTCTGGTCGGTTCGTGTCAAGCCGGGCAGGGTCGGGGCAGTCCAGGTGGGATGTCGAGCCCGCTCGGGTCAGTTCGGGTCGAGTCGGGTCAGGCCAATTCGGGAGGGGTCGGCCGCGGCCGCTCGGGTCAGTTCGGGTCGAGTCGGGTCAGGCCAATTCGGGAGGGGTCGGCCGCGGCCGCTCGGGTCAGTTCGGGTCGAGTCGGGTGGGGTCGGGCAGCTTCGGCAGGGGTCGGCCGACGCTCTCGGGTAGGTCCGGCCGGGCTCACCTCCCGCTGCGCTGCTGCACCTCCACGTGGACGGACGGTGCCTCGGCCACGCAGGGCAGCGCCTGCTTCAGGTCACCCGCGGCCTCGTCCATGG